CAGAATCGACCCCAAAATTGACCCGGATGGCAGTGTGTGGGTTCACAGAATAAAAAGGAACTGAATTATGGAAAGCAATTTTGGGGGAAGCAGGTAGACCTCTTAGAAATGCATAAGGCAAAGAATACTTTAATGGCACATCTAACTGTGGCACATTGTGGGTTGCTGCGCTGGACTGTAAGGTCAGTTTGAACTGCAAGGTCGGTGGTTCAAGCTCACCAGCCACTCCTTGGAAACTCTATGTGGGGTCACTATGGGTTGGAACCGACTCGAGAGCACACAACAACAAACCACATTAACCAAATTTTTATCTATTGACAGTGATTTTGAAGCATGTAATATTAAATGTGGAGTCCTGGTGTGGCACTGTGGGTTAATGCACCAGACTGCAAAGCCGTTTGAACTGCAAGGTCAGTGGTTCAAGCTCACTAGCTGCTCCTTGGAAACCCTGTACAGGGTCGCTATGTGTTGGAATTGACTCTACGGCACTTCACAACACAACAACAATATTAAATGCAGGATGCTAGCAGCTCTCCAACAACAAAAAAGAAAAGTAATGAAGTTCCTATCATTACTCATTTCCTGTAAGACATAGCAAATTGTATGGCCACTTTCTAGTCTTCCCTCAACTAGATGTTTACAAAACAGAATTTTTCTTATATAATATTGCATTTTAAGATATTTTGCCAGTACTTAATATTTATTTCTTGAACAGATCATTAAAATGCTTGTATGCTTAAGTGAAACTATTGTTTTCTAAAGGTACAATTTAGAGACAAGTTTATTTTCCTTTCTCTCTGAATAATCCAGACTTGATATCTATTATCCTCTTTCTCCTTTTTTAAAGAACTGTTTTTTGGTGGTGAATTGTGAGAAAGTTTACAGAGCAGATCAAATCTGCATTCAACAACCATACACTTCATTTCACGTCAACTGTCATTCTCTCGATGTAACATCACTTATCCAACTTCCTCAGTTTCTGTTTATTTCCATGCCTGCTCCTTTCCCCACACTTCTGAATTTTGTTTTTAAGTTAATGCTGCCCTTTTGATCTCATGGCTGATGTTCTATTGGATGCGTACCTTACTAGTGTGGTTGTCCCCTTACATATCTATCTGGAGTCCTGGTGTGGTACTATGGGCTAATGCTCTGGACTGCAAGTCACTTTGAACCACAAGGTTGGCAGTTCAGGGTCACCAGTTGATCCTTGGGAATCCTATACAGGGTCACTATAGTTCATAACTGACACTTAACAACAACAATGTATCTTTCTACTGCTTGGCTGAAAACTGAACCATGGGATTCCTCATTTTTTCAACTTTCTTCTTTGTCTCTCTGTTTGGCTTTTAAAAATATATTCTACTTGGGGCTGCTTCTCCAAAATCATCATCTCTCTCTTGTGAAATTTAATTATGTGTGTGTGTGAGAGAGAGAGAGAAAAAGTGTTAGAGGAAACACAGCATGAAGATACACAGACTGCCCTGCACGGTTCAGTTCCTCCACATAAAGATGCTGATATTACACTTGTTTTACTCTTGTAGACTATTGTTGGGCCAAGAGATGAAGAAGCAGTAGAGTAATTAAACTTTCTCAGAAGACTTCCAAACATCACAGATTTTACATGGTTTCATGTATTTAATGTCCACTGTCAGATATCAAACGGGGATGTTAGAACCCCATGGGGAAATGTTGTGAGGTACCAGGCATTGCACTAGCATTTCATATCTCAAACATCAGACACAGCCAGTGTCCCCAAAGGCAAAAGAGGAGGCAAGAATCCAAATGTACTTTTGTCTTTCACAGTCCTGACAACACAGTTATTATGTTGCCAAGTTTAGGTTAAATATCTAGATGTGAAATTACCATAGCAACAAAATTCTTAAATCAGATGTTCAAAATTAACTGTATAATGCACAGAATTCATAGTACCTGGGTGGTCCTCTGGCTCTTAACCAAAAGGTGGTAGTTTGAGTACTCGCAGAGGCCCCTCAAAAAAACGTCTATAGTTTACTTATGGAAAACCAACCACTGAAAACGCTTTGGAGCACAGATCTCTTCTGAAAAACCTGGCATCGCCATGAGTCAAAATCAACTCGACAGCAATTGGTTTGCAAGTGATTCACAGCTAACAGAAAAACAATCTAAAGGCTTTACTAACACAAAACTCCGTTGTAAGGATTTAATACTACACCAATTCTCATCCATAAAACTCACCAACACACTGTTCTAAAATAACAGAAAAATGGGCTGTTTGCTAATCTACCAACCCTGGACTTGACGATTTTATTTCAGTATTATTACCCACACCATTGCCATCTAGTCAGTTCTGACTCACAATGACCCTATATGACATGGGAGGGTTTCCAAGGCAGCAATCTTTACAAAAGCAGATTGCCACATCCTTCTCCCACAAAGCGTTATTGGCAGTGACACAGAATGAAGGGTCAGTGAAGAAGAAGGAGGCCTTCCACACCACTGGGGCTGCAACAATGGGTTCAAAGGTAGCAAGGATTGTGAGGGCAGCGCAAGACCCTTTCATTCCATTGTGCATAAAGGTCTCTATGAGTCAGAGCCATCTCAACCGCACTAAACACAACCACCACCAGCAAAGTCACGTATGTTTTACTGTCCATCAGAGGGAGACCACAGAAACATAGATCCATGAATTAGAAAAATGATACAGTTCAGTCCCTACAGAAGAAAACAGATTCTTTCTAAATGTGCTAGGGATAAGAGCTCCAAGATTTACTGAGTGACAAAAACAAGTGACATATACAAATGTATACTTACTTGTATTTAGAGGAAAATAAAATAATCATTATTACTATTACTATCATCTTTTGACATCTTAACGGAGTCCTGGTGTGGAGCTGTAGGAGAAGCACTGGGACTGCTAATCACAAGGTTGGTAGTTCAAACTTACCAGCTGCTCCTTGGAAACCCAATCCAGAGGCGTTATGAGTCAGAACTGACTTGACAGTACTTAACATCATCATCATCTTCAGGAAAACAATAATAACAAAATAAAGAGTTACCTCTGAAGAGTCCAATGTGGAGTATTACTAGCTAGCAAGGATGGGACTAAGGAATGATAAAATGGATCAGTCACCCTGGTTCTGTTTTTGTTGTGTTTTTTTTTTAAAAAGTCTTTTCAAAGCTTTTCAAACCAATAAAGAAATTGTTTCAAACTGCCACCAAATGATCAGCTAAGAGAGGTTTGGTCTCTGCCCCTAGCCACACTCCTTCTTCTGAAGGGATCTGTCTGTCTGACCGGTGACCCCAGGCCAAGGAACTGAGCAGAAGGCTGGCCCCTTCTGAACTCCTTCAGCTCTGCCTGCCAGTAGAGCAGCTCAGGCATGCCCACCGTCATACCCAGAGTGGGTGGGAGAGTCAGCGGTGTGCTGACCCATGTTTACCTAGATGTGGCAGAAACTGGTTGTAAGCCTATCTGCTTCATCTAAGCCACATTTTCCAACAAAATTGTTACTTCAGTCTCCATCTGATTCTTGTGACTAATTTTCAGTTTTAGTTGTGAGCATGGGTGGTGTTTTGTTCAACTAGAATCAGAACCAACTCGATGGCAGCCAACAAAAATAACAACCCAACAATTTACAACTGGTTCTGAACCAATCTGGAGAAATGGCTGTGGCAACTCCTAAGTCCCCAAAGTCCCCAAGATTCTACAGAATATGTGTAGTGTAATCTCACTAATGCCTTTAAAACAAAAACAAGTCACTACTATAAAATATATTGTCATTGTTATTAAGTGTCGTCGTCGACTGGTTCTGACTCACAGCAACCCTCCATTGGGTTTCTGAGGAGTGGCTGGTGACCTGAGCCACCAACCTTGTGGTTACCAATCCAGTGCTTACCCTACAGCACCACATCAGGACTCCAAAAAGTATGCTGTTGTTAACTGCCATCGAGTCAGTTCCAACTCACCCTATTTAGTGACCCTGTATAGGGTTTCCAATGAGCAACTGGTGAGTTTGAACTGTCGACCTTGTGGCTCAAACCAACCTTGCAGTCCAGTGCTTTATCCCACAGGACTCCCCATAAAACATATGCATGTAGAATAACTGTGGGGAAGGTAGCAGGGTTGGGCAACAGGCTGTGAGGAACTATTACTTTTTACTCCATTTACTTTTGTGTTATTCAAAATTCTACACGCATGCATTCATATATTACTGTTAAACATTCCAAAATAGGTTAAATGTTTTTTAGTAATGTTTGCTGGGAGTTTTAGTAGCTATATATCAAATACAAGGTTTTGAAGTCCATGATTATTAATTTTAGAGAAGTGGGTCCCAAAGTGTGGTCCCCAGATCACTTACATCCACATCACCTGGAAGCTCTAATAAGGCTAACTCTGTGACCCTACAGAAACTCCGGGGATGGAGTCTAGCTCGCCTCGGGTAGTTACAACACTAGCTAAAGTCTGAGGAGTACAGGGATAGAAAAGAACTTATAATCAGCAGACGTCAACTTTCTATCTACAAATCCTCAAGACCTGTACAGCACACATACCCCCACACACAAATATATACACATGCACACAAATACCAAATCATTCTTTCCATTCAATTCAACAAACATTTATGGAATACCTTTCCATTTGTGTTACTGCAGCACTCTTTCAGTAAAACTAAAACGTTGTAGTAGAGAAACCCTATCCTGAAACCACCACAGAAAGTCTCCAGGTCCTTTTAAGGCATTCAAGTGCTTTGTCATAAACCGGAGCAGCAACATGGTCTACTCCACTAAACCATGAAAAGCATCCCCTGCCAAGTAACAACTTGTAATAGGGTAGACTGTGACAACAGAGATCATTCTTGGTATTTCTCCTTCATCATTTTCTATTAAGACATTTGTTTTAAATCAGTGTTAGAGGCATTACAAATATAGTAAATATCACTGAATCATTCCATTTAAACTGGGCAATTTTATGTTAGGTAAATTTTACCTCAATTAAAAATAACACTGTTAGCATTTAAGAATACCTGTTTGGTGATCGTCTTGGCCAACGTCTTCTGTTAGATTCTGCAAGAAATATGTTCATTATTACCAAGAAATCACACAGCACAGAGAACACTTAAAATGCAATTATTTCCATAAACAGATAACATCTTAATATCTATCATTTACTTTTTTTATCAAATACAATTAACAAAAGCAACTACTTAAAACTGTTGGAAGTTTTCTCTTTAAAAGTTTGACTTACTAGCTTATTAAGGGTGTGGTAGATCTTATGAATATTTGCCAGTGTTGAGAGATGAGAGTTCAGTTGAAAGTCTTTAAAAGAAAAGGGGAAAATACATTATCATTTGTTTTCCATACTGGAAAATACTGTAAATGAAAAAAGAAACTTCAAGAGCAAAGCTACCAAGCGCTTTGATATAACTGAACACTATTTCAATTAATCTGAGACTTATTAAATAAAAACATGAAACTGACCATCTTCTAGAAAGTCTATAAATTCCAAACCAAATGTTCATGACATTATCATGTGAATTCTAAAGAAAAAATTCAGACGCTATAAAATCCTGTCAGCAACGTACCAGAACTTAATAGAAAAACAACAATAATATTAGCAAATTAAATCACACAAATAGAAAACTGATTTCATGAATAAAACATGACCGCTTTTCCTTTCCTTCCCCATAATTATTGGGATGATAAGCAAGTTCCTGGAAAGAAGATGGGAGTGGGGGACGTGGAATCAAGCGTTGGGCATTTCTTACAATATATATACTATACAGCAGAGATCGAAAATGTAATATGAGTCTCTCTACCTCCCAATAAACAGAGCAACCTTGCATGCTCCAATTCTGAAGGGCTAGAGCTTAGTGATGTAGCCTGCAGTTCCTTACAGGTACTACAATATTAAAGCACACCACGGAACCAAACACAGCAACAGAAATCACCCAGAGGAAGCACAGCCAAATCCCACACTGTATCCACGTATCCTCTCCAACAATTTCAGAATGACACATGAAGTCAGGCACACACATAAGACTAACAGAATCCTGCACAACATAAAACTTGAGGTTAAACGGTAAGACTTTTGAATCCTTAATTTCAAATTTATAAAATATACAGTCAGCACTTCATATCTGTAAGTTCCACATTCACCAACCTCCATAGAAAATATGGAAGTGGGTGTCAAAGCAATCCCTCACAAGCTAAGAGGGCGTACAAATTCCATTTACGTAACATTTACATTGTAATTGTTGTTGTTGTTGTTAACTGCCACCTCTGTCAAGTGGATTACCCCGATAGCCACCATGTCGAGAGTTTCCAAAGAGCTGCTGATGAGCTTAAACCACCGACCTTGCAGTTCACATGACTTTGCAGTCTGACGCATTAGCCCACAGCACCATAAACTACAGGTATGTTGTTGTTGTTGTTATGTGCCATGGAGTCGGTTCCAACTCATAGCAACACTGCATAGGGTTTCCAAGGCTGTAAATCTTTACGGGAGCAGAAAGCCTCATCTTTCTCCCACAGAACAGCTGGTAGTTTTGAACTGCTGACCTTGCAGTTCACAGCCAGATTCGTAACCACTATGTTACCAGAGCTCCTTATAAATAACTTAGAAAGGATCAAAAGTATATGGGAGGATGTACACAAGTTACATGCAAATAGTATGCCATTTTATATGAGCATAAAGAACTTGAGTATCCTCTGATTTGGGTATCCACAAGGATCCTGGAACCAATCGCCCAAACAGACCTAAGAACAAGTGTACTTGCATACAGATTCCCCAAACCAAACCTACCACCTTCGTGTCAACTCATTTCAACTTGTAGCGACCCTGTATAGGATTTCTGTTGATCTTTATGGAAGCAAACCACCTCACCTTTCGCCCACAGAGTAACTGGTGGGACTGAACGGCTGCCCTTGTAGTTAGGAGCCCAATGCCTAACCCACAGTGTCACCAGGGCTCCTTTGAATACATTGGGTTATGCAAACAACAAATATGAGGAGATTCAAACACTCGTGGAAAATGAAATTAAAAGATAATGGACTTTTTCAACAGCCATTTTGGAGCCCTTGTTATGAGTTACAAGTGTATGAATAGTTTCGTATTTGAATAAGCATCAATAGCAGTGATTTTGTAAAGTAACAAAATTTACATTCGCCCCTTTTTTTTTCTATTGTCAAGGTTAGTCTGAAAGCGGCCTTGATGCAGTAACTCACTACTGCACCTTTCCCTGCTACACTCTTCTGGAGAGAAAGGAAAAAATGACCCTTCAATGGGGCATGTATCCCATCCAAAGAGCAGACACTGTAGTATTAGCTTCTGTGGGGGCACTGGACTCTCTGGGCTGCTACCGCGAATCGAGAAAGCAAGCTAACTTCCCTGCCAGTATTTATAACACTCTTACTTTTACTCCTAAACATCTTGAAAATCTAGTACTGAACAGCCCTGTGGGGCAGAGGAGCCAGCAGAGAACATAGCCCCTGGACATGCACCCATTTGTTGAGAGGAGCAACAGGCAGAAGACACACACACACACACACAGCTCCAGCTTGCCTGGGGCAGCAGTCATTGGCCTGAAACTACAGTCCCATCTCTCAAGAGTGGTCCAAAGAACCAGGGTTTGGGGTTTAAAGACAGCAGAACAAAGTTTTAGGCCTAAAAAATAAAGACACAAGTTACTATTTTGGCGCCTGAATAGTTCAGCCATGCTTAGGATACACGACATGGTAATGCGGCACAGAATCTGGTTTATCTGTCTCTGCCCAGAAAAGATCAGAAAAGCATTTGAGGAACATGAATGTATGTGTGTGTCCATCTTTGATTGTATTTAATACACATTGAGATGGATCTCTAACATTAGAAGAGACAGCCCTCTCTGAACACACAAAAAGCTGCGGGGAACTTAAAATTCTTGTGCCTGTCCCCCAAAAAAGAAACACTAAGACGTCTAAGTTCTAAATTCCCTTTATTCTGAGGCCACAGAGGAGGGAAACTTGATGATTTTTTTCACCAAAGCTACACAGTAGGGAAGAAATAAAGGCCCTGCCAAAGACTAATCATGCAATGAGGTCTCCTGACCCCATGAACACCCTGCCATTATTTCAACTGTCGAAATTCTCATAACAGAATCCAAACAAACTAAGAAAGTGAAATCCTTCTTCATCCTTTATATTACTCTAGAGGAAGCAGAAAAGATGGGAAACACACAATATCTTCAACTTGGAATGCGAGGACTTTCATGAGCTGGGTCAGACCCATCCTTCCAAACTTCACCAGGCCACTCCATACAACCTCTCCCTCAGAACACATGCACAACTCCCACATAATGCTGCAGAGCTTTACAGCCACACTCTGGTGTCTTACTTGAATCTCAGAACTCTGAGGGGGTTTCAGAAAGTCTGTGGAGAAACTCCAGTATCTTTTCATTCAGTTTTCCACACACTTTCTGAAACCCCCCTTGTCTCAGTTATTTAACCTAAACTACAGCAAAAAGACAGGAATCAAAAAATGGGCAAAGGTCTCCAAAGTGTGAAAAAGAGACCCTACAAATTGGGAAGAAACAGACAGTAAGGACATATCTGACAAGAAACCAGTCTTTAAAATTCATAGAAAACTTTAACAAGAAAAAAAAAAAAGACCCCAAATAATCCAGTTTAAAAAATGGGCAAAGGTTATGAACAGATACTTCATCAAAGAAGACATTAGGGAAGTCAACAAACAGATGAAGAAATGTTCATGATCATTAGCCATTGTTGTTGTTCTTAGGTGCTGTAGAGTTGGTTCTGACTCAGAGCAACCCTATATAGAGTTTCCAAGAAGCAGTTGGTAGGTTTGAACTGCCAACCTTGAGGTTAGTAGTTCAGTGCTTATCTTACAGCACCATATACTATTTCAGAGATGAAAATAAAAATAATGTATCATTTCACCTAACAATAACAGTAACTATCAAAAGAACAGGAGACAAAACATGCTGGCAACGGTATGGGAAGATGAGCACGCATACACTGCTGTTGGGAATGAAGAAAGGTACAACCACTGTGGAAAATGCTGGGGTGCTTCTTCATTGGATGTATACTATTCACAATAGCAAGAAGATGGAAAGAACTAAGTGCCCATCAATGGATGAATGGATAAACTATGGTACTTACACACAATGAAATATTACAAAAACAGTGAAGTACAACATAACATTAAAGAATAAAAATGAGTCTGCAAAACAAATTACAACATAGACCCGATGGCACTTAACAACAGCTATTATAAAAAGTCAAGAAAAGGTTGTTTACTCACTGAAAGAAACACTTTGGTGGCTACCAGGGAAGGGAGGGAAGAAAACTTACTGATAGATGGTGGTGGTGAAGGGCATGGAGTCATTCCAGCTCATTACCACCCTGTCAATCTTTGCTTATTCCTAAGGAGCCACTGTGCTCCCCATGTTCTGCTATGTTGTTGTTGTTAAGTGCCATTGAGTCGATTCTGACTTATAGCGACCTTGTATAGGGCTTCCAAGGAGCAGCTGGTGGTTTTGAACTGCCAACCTTGTGGTTCAGTGTCCTTTGATGATCCTACAGCGTCACACCAGGAGACTGGACGGTACACATGTTTTTTAAGAGTGATGACGATGACAGGAAAGACAATACACAATAAAGGGGAGGTCAGCACACAACATGAAGAAGGCAGAGGAAGACACGGGAGGGGTACACAAGTATAAAAGGCAACAACAGTAGATATTATTATATATTCAAGCTTGCAATAAGAGTAACGACAAACAATAATTTATGAGTGGTTATACAGGTAGCAAGCTGAACCGGTATGAGATGTCGTATGGGAGTAAAACCACAGCATATATAGGTTTGGCACTGTAGACGAAGCACTGGACCACAAGGTCAGTTTGAACTGAAAGGAAAGGACGGACAGCAGTTCAAACTCCCCAACCATTCCTCGGAAACCCTATCCAGGGTAGCTATGAGTTAGAACATATGTATTTTATGTACTGCAAGTATACCCAGGTCTGGTGTGGGGCTGTGGGTATTAATGCACTACACTGCAAGGTCTATTTGAACCACAAGGTTGACAGTTCAAGCTCAGCAGTGGCTCCTTGGAAACGAGTTGGAACCCACTTGATGGCACTTAACAAGGACAGCATAGCAAAGCATGGGAGAAGAGTGGCTCCGTAGGAATAAAAAGATTGCCAGGGTCGTTATGAGCTGGAATGACTCCATGGCACTTAATGACAACAAAGTAGAGCATGCTGCTGTTATACAGTTCTGTCGTGTTGGTTCCGAGTCACAGTGACCCTGTA